CATACTATACTATACGATTAGAAAGGTTCAAAATGTATGTAAAACATCCCAGCACAATTGAAAAATATATGGCACATGGAAACCAAACGAGGGTGGTCTATGGTGATAGGTGGGATGGGCTGAGAGTGGCTGAGGGGTGGCATTAAAGAGTTTATGTATTATTGTTATGTGATTGCTTTATATAAAACTACCATGTATGTAAAATGTGTATGCAAAATGTTTATGTAAAATGTATATGTAAAATGTATATGTAAAATGTATGTATATGTAGCAGAAAAGCTGTAGAAAACAAACAAGATATGTGTCCTCCGAAGATGGTGGATGGGTTAATATTTTTTTTTTTTATAAACAAAATAACTTCCCCTAACCCTAACCTTAACCCTTTAACCTAATTCCTAACCGTAACCTTAACCCTAACCTTAACCCCTAACCCTAACCCCTAGCCTAGCTAACGTTAACCATCTAGCTAACCTAAAACGGTGCCTTCAGAAAGTATTCACACTCCTTTACTTTTTCCACATTTTGTTGTGTTACAGCCTGAATGTACTATTTATTAAATGGAGAGTTTTTGTCACTGATCTACACACAATACCCCATAACCCCTGTCAAAGTGTAATTTTGTTTGTATTTTAGACATGAATACAAAATTAAAAGCTGGAATGTCTTGAGTCAATAAGGATTCAACCCCTTTGCTATGGCAAACCTAAATAAGTTCTGTAAAAATGTGCTTATTAATCGATCGCATAATAAGTTGCATGGACACATTCATGTTCAATAGTAGTGGTTAACATAATTTTTTAATGACTACCACATCTCTGTACCCACACATACAATTATCTGTAAGGTCCCTCAATCGAGCAGTGAATTTCAAGCACAGATTCAACCACAAAGACCAGGGAGGTTTTTCAATGCCTCGCAAAGAAGGGCACCTATTGGTAGATGGGTAAAAGTAAAAAAAAACAGACACTGAATATCCCTTTGAGCATGGTGAAGTTATTAATTAGGCTTTGGATGGTGTATCAATACACACAGTCACTACAAAGATACAGGCGTCCTTCCTAACTCAGTTGCCGGAGAGGACGGAAACTGCTCAGGGATTTCACCATGAGGCCAATGGTGATTTTAAAACAGTTACAGAGTTATATGGTTGTGACATGAGAAAACTGAGGATGGATCAACAACATTGTCATTACTCCACAATACTAACCTGAATGACAGAGTGAAAAGAAGGAAGCCTGTACAGAATACAAATATTCCAAAACATGCATCCATGTTTGGAGAAAATCTAACACAACACATCACTGAGTACCACTCTTCATATTTTCAAGCATGGTGTTGGCTGCATCATGTTATGGGTATGCTTGTCATCGGCAAGGACTAGGGAGTTTCTTAGGATAAAAATAAACAAAATACAGCTGACGTGTATCCATTTGAGTCATCAGCGTACATAGACACACAGGTTTTTTCCAAGGTCAGTGGAAGGTCATTCGTAAAAACAGAAAACAATAATGGCCCTAGCCGGCTGCCCTGCGGTACACCACACTCAACTGAATTTGCATAAGAGAGACTTCCATTAACTAAAAATGTTATGGGTATGCTTGTCATCGGCAAAAACTATGGAGTTTTTTAGGATACAAATAAACAGTATACAGGTATAAGCACAGGCAAAATCCTAGAGGAAAACTTGGTTCAGTCTGCTTTCCAACAGACACAGGGAGACAAGTTCACCTTTCAGCAGGACAATAACCTTAAACACAAGGCCAAATATACACTGGCATTGCTTACCAACATTGAATGTCCCTGAGTGGCCTAGTTACAGTTTTGACTTAAATCAGCTTGAAAATCTATGGCAAGACTTGAAAATGGCTGTCTAGCAATGATCAACAATCAACTTGACAGAGCTTGAATAATTTGTGCAAAGCTCTTAGAGACTTACCCAAAAAGACTCACAGCTGTAATCGCCGCCAATGGTGCTTCTATAATGTATTGACTCTGGGGTGTGAATACTTATGTAAATTAGATATTTCTGTATTTCATTTTCAAAACATTTGCATATTTCTAAAAACATGTTTTCACTTTGTCATTATGGGTATTGTGTGTAGATGGGTGAGATAGTTTTTTTTAATTCAGGCTGTAACACAACAAAATGTGGAATAAGTCAAGGGGTATGAATACTTCTTTAAGACACTGTACGCACATATCATTTTCCTGGATTTTCGTTTACTATGTTACGTCTACCCCCTTTAGGCTATCCCTGAGCCTGAGTAGGAAGCTTTTAAGTTATAGAATGACTGAAGGAGTGGGAAGATTTTTGTTGATAATATTGTTTTTGTAGTTTTTGTGGATTAATGTTCTTTTTTCCCTTCCTGTAATATGTAGAATGTTCTTTTCTTGTGTGAGTTCATTCACCCCCGTCCAGTTGGTGGCGGCATGCACCTCTAACATTTGTTTGCGGACCGACATAATAGCACAGAAGAAGAAGAAGAAGAAGAAGAAGAAGAATGCGACGGCGCACAATTGGCCCAGCGTCGTCCAGGGTAGGGGAGGGAATGGCCGGCAGGGATGTAGCTCAGTTGGTAGAGCATGGCGTTTGCAACGCCAGGGTTGTGGGTTCGATTCCCACGGGGGGCCAGTATGAAAAAAATATATAAAAATAATAATAATGAATGCACTCACTAACTGTAAGTCGCTCTGGATAAGAGCGTCTGCTAAAATGTAAATGTAAGAAGAAGAAGAAGAAGAGCTGTACCATTAAGGGCTTCCACCATTTTAATGTAGTCAACTGGGTGGGACTTCCAACTTCATTGGCTGATCCCTCCTGGTGACCTTGTTGGAGTCATGTCCAACCTGGCATCAGGAGGGATCATCCGATCGTGAAGAAGAAAATGGACTACTTCCAAATGGAGATAGCCTCAACGGCACTGCCCATGCTGTCAGATACGCTGTAACGGCACAGATACAAAATATGAGTCCTCTATCTATCTCTATGGCTGCTATGATCAATGACTTCAAAACCCGGAAGTTCCTGGTGTTTGTAAATCCACCAGCTATTTGGCCAATTCATGTTTAATAAGAACTGGAGACTGCGTCCGAGATGTCCAACCGTTGTTTTCAAGGTAATCTACTCACATTCGCATATGCCATTTCATGGGACCGCCTATATCCGGGTTGCATCCGGTTTCTAAGAACCAACATCATCTGCACACGAGCACTCAGTGTCCACAGGGAGCAGCATAACGTCATCCAAAATTAGACATTTGATGAATATAAAATGTTAATATCTTCGGCTGTGAGCAACAATTATTGAATAATTCAATGAATGTTTTGTGCACAAAGGTGATGACTAAAGTGTCATATTAGGAATTTTCAAATCTGACTTCTCTATGTAGCCATGTATGGAAATTGTCTTTCTGGGCCGGGCGTCAGTTAAACTGCAGTACGGAAGCAAAACTGTAGGAGCAGTCGAAACCGTACTTCTAGACCGGAACCCTGGCCCCTTGATCTGACACCTCCCTCGACAGGAGCGGAATCTATAAAGAAGGGGGGGGGAATTCTCTGTCAGCGGCAGTTATTTGTAGGTAAGTGTTTTCTTGATGTTTTGGTTGAAACGTTTGTCTTAATGAGATATTTGCCGTTTTGTGATTATAGCTAAGGTAGCTAGCCACTAGCTAACAAGATTATACTAACCGTAGGGCGACTGCTATTGGTCTTGCTTCATTAAGCGTAAATCGTAGTCCGGCGTCCCATTGTAACATTAGTACGCGGCTCACAGACCAACACCATTCCCCGGGGATGCACAGCCCGAACGCGCACCCCCCCACAATTCCCAACCAAAGCGTCTCCACGGTACGCGTCCTCTATTCATTTGAATGTGTTGACAGTTGGATAAATTGCTTGAGCTGCGCTGAGAAACGGTCCAATATTTTAGAACACTGCAGTGTTTACGCGTGCGTACACGTTTGGTACTCTGATAGACCCTTTACTTGTAACCTGTTGGTCAAGTTTCATAGTCAGTTAGCCATGAAATAGTTTGATAATTTTGCACTGACAGTTGTCATGTCCTTTGCTAACTTGATGCTAATAGTAAAAAGTTAACTATACTGAACAAAAACGCAACATGATTTCATGAGCTGAAATAAAAGATCCCAGAAATGTTCCATATGCACAAAAAGCTTATTTCTCTCAAATGTTGTGCACAAATTTGTTTACATTTCTCCATTGCCAAGATAATCCATCCACCCGACAGGTGTGGCATATCAGGAATCTGATTAAACAGCATGATCATAACACAGGTGCACCTTGTGCTGGGGACAATAAAAGGCCACCCTAAAATGTGCAGTTTTGTCACACAACACAATGCCACAGATGTCTCAAGTTTTGAGGGAGTGTGCAATTGGCATGCTGACTGCAGGAATGTCCACCAGAGCTGTTGCCAGAGAATTCAATGTTCATTTCTCTACCATATGCCGCCTCCAATGTAGCTTTAGAGAATTTGGCAGTACGTCCAACTGGCCTCACAACCGCAGACCACATGTAACCACACCAGCCCAGGACCTCCACATCTGGCTTCTTCAACTGCTGATGAAACTGAGGAGTATTTCTGTCTAATAAAGCCCTTTTGTGGGGCAAAAACTCATTCTGATTGGCTGGGCCTTGCTCCCCAGTGGGTGGGCCAGTCTCACAAGTGGGTAGGCCTATGCCCTCCCAGGCCCACCCATGACTGCGTGTCCCTGCCAGTCATGTGAAATCCTAATTTATTTATTTCAATTGACAGATTTCCTTATATGAACTGTAACTCTGTAAAATCGTAGAAATTGTTGCATGTTGCGTTTATATTTTTGTTCAGTATAGTTTCTAACACTCGACTAACATGAAATGACAGTCACTTGTTATGTAGCTAGATAGCTAGCTTGTTATAGCTTGAGTATCCATTTGATTAGTAATATAGCAAATTAATGTTTGTTTTCTACTTTCACAGTGTGTGCTGCTGACAAACTAACATGTTGTCGGAAGGCAGCTCCTTCATGAAGGGGATGGCCCTGGGAGGCATATTCTGCCTGTTGTTGTCCCTGTTAGGGAGCTTCACACCAGGCATGCAGTCTAGCCCAGAGGACCAGCACCACCACCACCACATCAAGGCTCCCACCAACGACGAGCTACAGAGCCTGTCTGAGCCCCAAATGGTGGAGCTGAGCCAGAAGGTGCGAGTCTATTGTGTCATCATGGTTCAGCCTAAGGTCCTAGTGTATTGGGCCACAGCCAAGGACACCTGGAGTAAACACTGTGACCAGGCCGTATTCTACAGCTCTGAGTCAGCCAAGGCCCTGGAAGCAGTGGACCTTAACGAACAGGACGAGTGGACCAAGCTGCGCAAGGCCCTGAAGCACGCGTACGACAATTCCGGCGACCTGCGCTGGTTCTTCGTGGCACGGCCTACCACCTTCGCCATCATCGAGAACCTCAAGTACCTCATTCTGGCCAAGGACCCCAACGAGCCCTTCTACATCGGCCACGCCATGAAATCGGGCGAGCTGGAGTACGTGGAGTACGAGAGCGGCATCGTGCTGAGCTACGAGGCCCTCAGGAGGCTGGTGAACGTGTTCAAAGACGAGGAGAAGTGTCCAGAGCGAGGCAGAGCCCTGTGGAAGCTGAGCGAGGAGAAGCAGCTGGCTATATGTCTGAAGTACACCGGGGTCTTTGCAGAGAATGGCGAGGACACACAGGGCAAGGGGCTGTTCAACAGTAAGAGTGTGAGTTCACTCATCGAAGACGGCATGTCCAAAAACCCCTTGGACGTGGTGGAGGGCTGCTGCTCTGACCTAGCCATCACCTTTAGCGGAATGTCACCAAACCAGATGCAGGTCATGATGTTTGGGGTTTACAGACTACGCCCGTATGGGCACAACTTCCAGGATTCCTTGATATTTTTCCCCCCTGAGGGCTCTGACAATGACTAAAGTGCAAGGCTTCCCCCTTTGGGCTAGACATGGCATTAAAAAGACTGCTGCTGTGTGATGTCAAGTCAGACTGTTGAATAAAGACAGTTTTCTTATTCAGTTTGTATACATGAAGGAGGGTGGCAAATCATTAGTCTTAGTCTTTTATACCTTTCGAATTTGCACTCTGCACAATATGATTGTGGTTGTGAAAAATAAACAGATGTAGGCTAATGCAGTGCTATGAAGAAATATCTAATTATTTCACACAATTTGTTTTCTTTCATTGGTGTTTGTGGGTAATTTTATTTAATTAGGCTAATACAAGGCCACATGGAGTGAACATTTGGTGAAATTAATCTTCAAGTATTGGGATGACTGTAAAAGTCTGTAAACCAAATAGTTTGCTACACATGATTGTTGTCATTGTAATGAAATTAATGTTGGTGGATTTGTTTTAGTTTTTTCTTGTTTATTTTGTGGTAACTATTTTACCCACTTGGAAAACCAGGTGAATTAAAAATTGACTGAAATTGACAGCCATGTTTATCCTCCTAATAACAACAACTAAATGAAATTGTGTCCTGAGACTGTTCTGTTGCTGCATTCAGTCATTGTGGGAAATCATAGTTCTTAATTACACAAGTGCTAAACCAAATATAGAGCACTGTCAATCAAAATAGGCCTAGCTCATAGTGAAGCATTTTCATCTTACCCCTTGTTATTGATAAGCTAAAAAAAGTAATATATATACTTACTTTTTGGGACTAAAGAAATATGGCTAAAATAGACAAGTTTCCCACTAGTAATTACCAGTTGGAGCGCTGTTCAAATAGATTTTTCCCAGTCATGTGGTAACCATAGAGAATGATAGAGATATCATCTTTATACACAGTGTACAAAGCATTAGGAACACCTTCTCTTTCCATGACATAGACTGACCAGGTGAATCCAGGTGATCCCTTATTGATGTCGCTTGTTAAATCCACTTCAATCAGAGTAGATGAAGGGGAGGAGACCGGTTAAATAATGATTTTTAAGCCTTGAGACAATTGAGACATGGATTGTGTATGTGTGCCATTCAGAGGGCGGATGGGCAAGACAAAAGATTTAGCTGCCTTTGAACGGGGTATGGTAGTAGGTGTCAGGTGCACCGGTTTGTGTCAAGAACTGCAAAGTTTCTGGGTTTTTCACACTTAACCATTTCCCGCGTGTATCAAGACTGGTCCACCACCCAAAGGACATCCAGACAACTTGAAACTGTGGGAAGCATTGGAGTCAACATGGGCCAGCATCCCTGTGGAACGCTTTCAACACCTTGTAGAGTCCATGCCCCGATGAATTTAGGCTGTTCTGAGGGCAAAGTGGGGTACAACTCAATATTAGGAAGCTGTTCCTAATGTTTGTCCACTCAGTGTATATGTTCCATTATGGCATCTGTGAGCATGTGGTCAGTGGCATTGAGGCCATCTCCATTTTGAAGTAGTCCATTTTATTTTTCTACTACTTCTATTAGTTGGAAAACAAACTAAAAGGGTGCCTACTTCCAGCTAGTGTGTTTGAAAGGGTATAAAGCAAAGGTTGGCGATTTACTGCAACCTACATTTATGGAATGTTTGCTCACAAGTATAATTCATTGGCTGATCCCTCCTGATGACCCGGATGGAATCATGTGATCCTTCCTTCATTCATAGCAAGGCCCACCCAGTTGACTACTTTAAAATGGTGGAAGCTCTCTATGATCACGTTTACATGCACACCAATATCCCGTTATTATTCGGGATAATGAAGTATTCCGTTTTTTGAGTTGGCTCATATAAGCTTACATGATGTCCCGTTTACAATAACCCCAAAAAACGTGTATCCCGGTTATGAGAAACCTGGGATATTATGATCTTAGACGGGATAGGTGGTCCTCTAGCTCAATTGGTAGAGCATGGCGCTTGTAACGCCAGGGTAGTGGGTTCGATCCCCGGGACCACCCATACGTAAAAATGTATGCACACATGACTGTAAGTCGCTTTGGATAAAAGCGTCTGCTAAATGGCATATTATTATTTTTATTATTACGTAAACATCTTATCCCATTTACTGTTGTTTTTCGCTGTCTGTGCAGGCTCCGTTTCGCATATCATGGGTGTTGTGTGATGATGTTATCTGATTGTCAAACAAATCACTTCAAAAAGTAGGCTACCTGCGCAGTTTGATCCACCATAATTCCATAATCATTTATTTGCTGATACTCTATACTGGACCATATAGCCTACTTTAAGTTTAATTTAAGTTTCTGCTTATAATTTCTGACATTTGGTAGGCCATATTATAATTTCTGACATTTGGTAGGCCATATTATAATTTCTGACATTTGGTAGGCCATATTATAATTTCTGACATTTGGTAGGCCATATTATAATTTCTGACATTTGGTAGGCCATATTATAATTTCTGACATTTGGTAGGCCATTTGTTTGCCACCTATAGTTAGATACATGCAGCTTCTCTTCTGTCATTACTGTCTTCTGTGGCAACAAGTTAAGTGGTGCTCACCAGAATAATGTCTTACATTGATAGAATGAATGCATTAGTAATCTAGTTAACACGGTAAAATACTGTCTGCCTGCATAAGTGTCAAAGATAACACATTACACGTTCATTCACATTTTTTGTTTAACCTTTATTTAACTAGGCAAGTCAGTTAAGAACAAATTCTTATTTATAATGAAGGCCTGGCAAAAGGCCTCCTGCGGGGATGGGAGCTGAGATTAAAAATATAGGACAAAACACACATTACGACAAGAGAGACACCACAACACTACATAAAGAGAGACCTAAGACAACAACACAGCATGGTAGCAACACCACATGACAACTTCACGGTAGCAACACAACATGGTAATAGCACAAAACATGGTACATATATTATTGGGCACAAACAGCACAAAGGCAAGAAGGTAGAGACGACAATACATCATGCGAAGCAGCCACAACTGGCAGTAAGAGTGTCCATGATTGAGTCTGAATGAAGATATGGAGATAACTGTCCAGTTTCTCAAGAGATGCTGAAATAAATAAATCATATTTTTCCACTCCTGTTCCCGAGACAAAGTTAACATTTGTTGTATCGTTCTACTGCAAGAAATGCATAATTCTGCAGAAGTTAATGATAGTATGCGACATGTGAGAGGTTACAGGCCTACAGTGAGTGTCCATATTTCAGTTACTATTCCATTTAACCCATATTAACTTAAATTAGGGATATTCTGTTTATTCAAGGATACAGGGATACTCCTGAGTTGGATATCAAAGGTGCATGTAAACAGCTATAAGAACTTAAGCGGGATATGAGCTACTATCCGGAATACTGTGAAAATGTAAATGAGGTCAATGACAATGTCCATGCCAAAACGGGGTTTATTGATCTAGAGTCCTTTAACTCAATGGTGGTAAATTCCCACTTCCCACTTGTTTTTATTTATTTAACCTTTATTTAACCAGGTAAACCATTTGAGAACAAGTTCTCATTTACAACTGCGACCTGGCCAAGATAAAGCAAAGCAGTGCGATAAAAAAAACACACAGTTAATATGGGGTAAACAAAACATAAAGTCAAAAATACAACAGAAAATATATATACAGTGTGTGCAAATGTAGCAAGTTATGGAGGTAAGGCAATAAATAGGCCATAGTGCAAAATAATTACAATTTAGTATTAACACTGGAATGATAGATGTGCAAGAGATGATGTGCAAATAGAGATACTGGGGTGCAAATGAGCAAAATAAATAACAATATGGGGATGAGGTAGTTGGGTGGGCTAATTTCAGATGGGCTGTGTACAGGTGCAATGATCGGTAAGGTGCTCTGACAACTGATGCTTAAAGTTAGTTTCTTCAACTTCTGGACATCACATCTGGAACAACTGTCCAAGTTTAAGAATGCAGCATGTATCCTCAATTCTGACTAGAGGGAGTACAGCTACGACCGGAAGTGACTTTTTCATAGCAGGTTAGGAGAATTTACGCAGCAGGTTAGGATAATTAACGTGGTAGGTTAGGAGACTTAGGTTAAGGTTAGGAAAAGGGTTAGGGTCAACTAAAATGCTCTCCTATACTGCTGGGTGATTCTGCAACTACTGGAACTTCTATGTCCTCGGGGTCAATATTTAGGATTTTATTTCAATTTTAGTTTTTTAGTCTTTATATGTTAAATTCACACTACAATCACCCCAGACTTTTTTTTAACACCACTCTATCAAGTATTTTAGCTACTTTACAGATGTGTTTTATACCTCAATTTCACTTTTTTGCCCTTGTCCCTGACCTAGACTTTTGAGCTTCTATGTTTTTCTATGAGAAAACATGAATAATTACACAATATATAATGTTTTATACTAGAGAAAGAGTCAGTTAAATAAAATCTATATATTATTTATTGTGAGTATGCCCTTTATATTGTTTTTTTTACACAAAATATACCTGTCCTTTGGTAGTGGTGTCATTTCCACCACTGAGGACAAATTCCTCATTAATAAAGTTTTTTCAAAATAATGTTGATTTAGTTACCATGGAAACATATTGTGACATTGAAGCACATGGCTGCAGTGGACAGTTGTTCCAGATGTGATGTCCAGAAGTTGAAGAAAAATCTAGGTAAATATTGCTTGTGTAGAGAATATTTTTATCGTCAGCCATTTCCAAACAGGCTATCATTTCTTTAATTTGTGGTAGAATTTTGAAAAAAAGTGTATATTTTATGTATTTAGTGTAAACTATATGCTAGCTGTAATCCTAGCCCAAGCATGCTAAGCAGCCTGTCATTTTTCTCCAGAAACTGTAGAAGCGTCATTTCCATCACAGTCATTTCCATCACAAAACTTAACTGTGGTGGAAATGACAGAACGTGGTGGAAATTACAAAAATCTATTATCTTATTCGATTGTAGTTTGTACTTTTTTAAAACTTTAGGCTCATTTAATTATGTTTTAAATAAATGTAATGTAGAAAATGCTCCAAGGTGTGCAC